TTAGTTAGGTGGGCTTGTGTTGGTTAGGTAGGCTTGTGTTGGTTAGGTGGGCTTGTGTTAGGCGGGCTTGTGTTAGTTGGGCTTGTGTTGGTTAGGTAGGCTTGTGTTAGGTGGGCTTGTGTTGGTTAGGTGGGCTTGTGTTGGTTAGGTGGGCTTGTGTTAGATGGGCTTGTGTTAGTTAGGTGGGCTTGTGTTAGTTAGGTGGGCTTGTGTTAGTTAGGTGGGCTTGTGTTAGGTGGGCTTGTGTTAGGTGGGCTTGTGTTAGTTAGGTGGGCTTATGTTGGTTATGTGGGCTTGTGTTAGGTGGGCTTGTGTTAGTTAGGTGGGCTTGTGTTGGTTAGGTGGGCTTGTGTTAGGTGGGCTTGTGTTGGTTAGGTGGGCTTGTGTTGGTTAGGTGGGCTTGTGTTAGGTGGGCTTGTGTTAGGTGGGCTTGTGTTAGTTAGGTGGGCTTGTGTTAGTTAGGTGGGCTTGTGTTAGTTAGGTGGGCTTGTGTTAGATGGGATTGTGTTAGGTGGGCTTGTGTTAGGTGGGCTTGTGTTAGGTGGGCTTGTGTTGGTTAGGTGGGCTTGTGTTGGTTAGGTGGGCTTGTGTTGGTTAGGTGGGCTTGTGTTAGTTAGGTGGGCTTGTGTTAGTTAGGTGGGCTTGTGTTAGTTAGGTGGGCTTGTGTTAGGTGGGCTTGTGTTAGGTGGGCTTGTGTTAGGTGGGCTTGTGTTGGGTGGGCTTGTGTTAGGTGGGCTTGTGTTAGGTGGGCTTGTGTTAGGTGGGCTTGTGTTAGGTGGGCTTGTGTTAGGTGGGCTTGTGTTGGGTGGGCTTGTGTTAGGTGGGCTTGTGTTAGGTGGGCTTGTGTTAGGTGGGCTTTTTTTATTTTTATCCATCAATTTTATGATCTTTTTAAGATAGCTTTGATGTGATGTTTCTATGTGATGTTATATGATGTTTCTATGTGATGTTATATGATGTTTCTATGTGATGTTTCTATGTGATGTTTCTATGTGATGTTTCTATGTGATGTTGTATGATGTTTCTATGTGATGTTATATGATGTTTCTATGTGATGTTTCTATGTGATGTTATGTGATGTTTCTATGTGATGTTTCAATGTGATGTTATATGATGTTTCAATGTGATGTTATATGATGTTTCAATGTGATGTTATATGATGTTTCTATGTGATGTTATATGATGTTTCAATGTGATGTTTCTATGTGATGTTTCTATGTGATGTTATGTGATGTTTCTATGTGATATTTCATTGTGATGTTATGTGATGTTTCAATGTGATGTTTCAATGTGATGTTATCTGATGTTTCTAATTGATTGAATGTTATGGCGTTAAATGTGTATTTGACTCGCAAGTAAAATACGTCATCAGCACCTCATGCAACTATCTTTTAAAGTTTCGCGTTAGATTAGGGTTAGGGATGGGTTAGGGATGGGTTAGGATTAGGATTAGGATTAGGATTAGGGTTAGGGTTACGGTTAGGGTTAGGGGTTGGGGTTGGGGGTTGGGGTTGGGGTTGGGGTTGGGGTTGGGGGTTAGGGTTAGGGTTAGGTTTGGGGTTAGGGTTAGGGTTAGGTTTGGGGTTAGGGTTAGGATTGGGGTTAGGATTGGATGCGATAAGATGAATGGTGTGGTTCAAGTTATGGTTTAGGATTCTAGTCATGTTAAGTGAATGCTGGTGTTAAAATAAAATGCTTTTTAAATCAAGATACGAGCTGCTGTTCCAGACTTAATTAGCTCCCTTTGTTAAACTTTGTCTAAAACTATGGACATGGCCTTGACCAAGATAATTCCTAATTAAAAAGAAGATTCGCCAGAAGAATTTTTAAAAATTAAAGCCCTTGTACTATTAAAGCTGAACTTTGCGAAAATTTTAATTTTAGTTTACTCTAAACCGAAAGAGAAGTTACATTAAACGCTGGTGGAATGTTTAGTTACATAACAAATTGTTTTTTCTTTATACAAATTGAGATCTAATAGTTAAAGTGTCGGGCGCTAAAAATGTGTCAATATTTTATGAGCGACCAAAACTTCAACGACCAAAGATCTCTACCAATAGCGCGTTATTTTTATTTTTGTATACTGACTTTAGTTCTAAGCAAAATTTGGAAACAAATTCTGGAAAAAAAGATTTTTTTTAACAAAATATGAAGATTAATTAACATAAATTGAACAACAAGATAATTAATTCCGACGATGACTTGATTACTTTCTAGACCGACGACTTGATTAGTTGACACATCCACCTGAGAATGACGTCACACTATTGGCGCGTGAGTTTATCGTCTGCTTCTTTTGTTCTTCAATCTCAGGGGGCGATCACGTGGTGTCGTCTGTCAAACGGTCACGCTGACATGCATCACGTGACTGCTATAGTGGCATTCACTTCTGATCTATCATTCAAATAGTTGAGCCAGAGTTACTTCTCTTGACAATCGTCGTATGGATCATACAATAGTTATCATTAAAAAAGTTTTTAAAAACCCACGTTTTCTGATTGAACTAAAAAGTAGAAAATAAATGATATACATCACAATAATGCAAGCGATGAAAAACGTGGGGCGCCGAAGTAAAAGTTTTTTATCGGTCATTGTTAATATATGATGTAAACGTTATATTACTATTGATTATATAATACTATTGACTTTTATTAGGGAGCCTGTAGAGAGTCAACAGTATTAGAAACTGTAAGAAAATCACGGCGCCCCACGTTTTTCATCGCTTATAGTAGAGTGATCGCTTGCATTATTGTGATGTATAGCATTTATTTTCTACTTTTTAGTTCAATCAGAAAACGTGGGTTTTTTAAAACTTTTTTAATGATAATTATTTTCTACTTTTTAGTCTTTGTCTGTTTGTTTGCTTTAAAATCTTGCTATCGATTTTATCTTTTCGCATTCACTTTTTTTTTGGGTAAAACGAAGACAACTCGTAAAAAACACGTGCCTTGAACCCGTGTCGAGTGGGTTAGCAATCGTGTGCCCAACCACTCGACCATATCGTCTCCCCCATACTGGCCACCAGTTGTTACGTTCTGGTTGTTTGTACACAAACACCGCGTGACAACTACTCAGTAAGCAAAAAGAGGGAGAGTACCGAACCTTGTTTTCATCAAATTACAATTACTGGGTTATATCCCTTTTCCCCCCACGTTTTTGTACAATTATATAGCGGTCTAAAATGATCAATAAAATGTTTCCATGGATCAATTTAGTAATAATAACAATTGAATATTCTATTGTCATCGGAAACAAAGCTTCCCTGAAAATTTCAGCGCGCTAGCTAACTGGGAAGTGCCCGAAATTTCGATCGAAAGATTTGATTGGAAAGACGCGAAAGCAAGTTAAAGAAAACGTGGGGAAAAAATGTGCACAGGTAGCCTGGTATTGTACATTCAACTGAAACCAATGAAGGTCCATGTTAATTAAAAGTGGCAATTATTTTCCCTAGATGATCATGACGTCATGGATTGACTGTTCTCTGGTTCTCGAACATTCTGGTGTATGCCCGTACAAAATAAGATTGATATTAGATTTCGCTGGGTATCTGTACTGTGTGATCGCTGTATGATAACTCTCGCGGTATTTCAAGGCTCTGGTCCAGGTACAATCGTCTTAAAATGGTGTGGATTAGAATTTACTCGATTTCATGTAAGCAGGGGGGGGGGGGGGGGAACTTATTCTTTTCTGTTTCCTCAGAAAATGTATTTGAATAAATCAGTTTTTTTTTCTAGGAATATGAGACCCAAAGTTGCCCCCATTTTAAGTTTTTTTCTTTAGCCCGATTACACAGGACGTGTTATCTCAATCTAGAAAGTTCTATGGGAAGTTAAGGGGAGCTAACTCCAGCTTTACATTTTGTAAGATATTTTAAATTTATTAACCATCCATCTTTCTTCGTTCATTTGAACACATGTAACATATATAACATATATAACATATATAACATATATAACAAACATATATAACAAACATATACAACAAACATATATAACATATATAACTTATTTAACATATATAACATCATAAATATCATCATAAATAACATCATAAATAACATCATAAATAACATCATAAATAACATCATATATAACATCATATATAACATCATATATAACATCATATATAACATCATATATAACATCATATATAACATCATATATAACATCATATATAACATCATATATAACATCATATATAACATCATATATAACATCATATATAACATCATATATAACATCATATATAACATCATATATAACATCATATATAACATCATATATAACATCATATATAACATCATATATAACATCATATATAACATCATATATAACATCATATATAACATCATATATAACATCATATATAACATCATATATAACATCATATATAACATCATATATAACATCATATATAACATCATATATAACATCATATATAACATCATATATAACATCATATATAACATCATATATAACATCATATATAACATCATATATAACATCATATATAACATCATATATAACATCATATATAACATCATATATAACATCATATATAACATCATATATAACATCATATATAACATCATATATAACATCATATAACATCATATAACAAACATATATAATATATATAACATATATAACATATATAACATATATAACATATATAACATATGTAACATATATAACATATATAACATATATAACATATATAACATATATAACATATATAACATATATAACATATATAACATATACAAACATATATAACATATATAACATATATAACATGTATAACATATATAACATGTATAACATATATATAACATATACAACATATATAACATATATAACATACATAGCATATATAACATATATAACATATATAACATATAAATTATAACATATATAATATATATATATAACATACATAACATTATGTTATTATAAACTTTCTCTCCTGTCTCGACGACTTTTCCTTCACAGAACGTCTATATGTGACCGTTTTAAATATCGTTGTTAAGCAAGTGGCTACCAGCAGACAAGTGGCTACCAGCAGACAAGTGGCTACCAGCAGACAAGTGGCTACCAGCAGACGAGCGACTAGCGGGCGAGCAGACCTGAGATGGTGAACTTGACATGCACCCCCGGGGCGCCTGTCGTCCAGACCTTCAACTCCTCCCTGACCATCGAGTACGACGCCCCTGAGTTCCCTGAGATGGCCGTGACCGAGGTGGCCCTGAAGATCACCTTCTACGTGTTGGCCATGCTGGTGGACCTCGTGGGCAATTTCATCGTCATTCTCATCATCCTGCTCAACCGTAAGATGAGGACAACGACCAACGTCTTCATCCTGAACCTGGCGGTCAGTGACCTCTTGGTGGGCATGTTCTGCATGTGGGTGCACCTGGGCAACCAGATCTCAAACAACTGGCCCTTTGGCTACTTCATGTGCATCTTCTCCACGTTCGCACAGGGTAGGTGTCGTCTCACGTCACATGTCACATCATCGCACCCTTACCTTTCGCCCACCCCACCCCCGCCCCTATAAAGCGCCCCTCCCCCCACTTCCCACCCCTATAATACGCCCCTCCCCCACTTCCCGCCCCTATAACACGCCCCTCCCCCACGCCCCGCCCCTATAACACGCCACTCCCCCCACTTCACGCCCCTAATACACGCCCCTCCCCACGCCCCGCCCCTATAACACGCCCTCCCCCACGCCCCGCCCCTATAACACGCCACTCCCCCACTTCACGCCCCTAATACACGCCCCTCCCCACGCCCCGCCCCTATAACACCCCACTCCCCCACCCCTATAACACGCCCACGCCCCGCCCCTATAACACGCCCTCCCCCACGCCCCTCCCCTATAACACGCCCCTCCTATGTTCCAGTGACGGCCGTGACGACCAGCGTCCTGACCTTGACCGTCATCTCCGTGGAGAGGTTTGTGGCCATCGTCTTTCCCTTCCGCGCCCACTGGCCGCCCGTCACGACAGGCGTCATCATCGGTGAGTCACCTGACTGACGCACCTCTGACGCAAGTCTGAGGCTTTCATGTGACGCCATTGTTGTATTGCCTACTTTTGTTTGGAACAACTGAGACTTAGGGGTCGTCCATAAATAAGGGGGGGGGGGCGTAATTTTGTGACGGTGTGTGATGAGAGGGAGTGGGGGGTGGAATTCAGATGTTGCGACGCCACACTTTTGCATTATAAAAAAGAAATGTTAGAAAACGAACGTTATTTCGCGTTTTAGAAAACTGTTTTAATAAATTGTAATAGGAATTGATTAAAATACTCTATGTTGAAGAGTTCTGACAAGATTTTGGAAAAATATCGATGTTTTAAAAAAAAAATTCAACTGCAATTTTGAGAGGGGGGGGGTGTAGGCTGAGTGTGACGTCATTTTATGGGGGTCTTGCTTTTTGTGAAGATGTGTGACAGAGGGGTGGGAGGTAAAAAGGGGGGGGGGGAGTCAGAGAAATGTGTTGAAATACTGTCAGAGATCTGACGTGGGGGAAGCTTTAAATTCTGGGACCATGGTGATAATTTTGATGACATCTGACAGTGACATCTGATGACATCTGGCAGTGACATTTGAGGTGAGAGATCTAACTGTGAGACAACTAGAACACCGCTGCTAATATTCTCGAACTTTCCTCCCCCCCTCCCCCAGCCTGCACCTGGCTAGCGGCCCTTGCCACAGCCTCCCCCAACCTATTCGTGAGGAAACAGTACGTGCAGTATTGGCGGGACCGTACGGACAAATGGTGCGATGAGCAGTGGCCGCAGGTAATTATCGATCTTTTCACCTAGCTATTGATCTCATTCATCAGACAGAGTGGGGGGGGGGGGGGGGTTTAAAGGTTTTAGGTGAAATAATTTTAGGGATCTTTTTAAAAACAAACATTTGATGCCTTTTGTCTTTTCCAAATTAAAAATTTCTTACAACCCCATTTCATTTTACTATTAAACAAAATAATAAGAAGAATAATAACAATATGATAGTTATTATTATTATTATTATTATTATTATTATTATTATTATTATTATTATTATTATTATTATTATTATTATTATTATTATTATTATTATTATTATTATTATTATTTATTGTTATTATTAATTATTAATTATTAGTTTTAGTATTATTATTAATTTTTATTGGTTATTGTTATTGTTATTAGTATTATTATTGTTAGACGAGAAAAATGGCCCGTTGAG